GAATAAAGTTTGTGAAATGGGGTCATTTGGCAATTTTTAGATTTCCAGTCTTTTCATGTAGAATGAGGGGGGCAAGGGAAGAATTAGAGTTTTGAGATATGTATTCATCAAAGGGACAAGGAACAAGGAACAAGGGATGAGATCTGGAGGTCCCCGCACCGCACGTAGCGGTGGGGTGTATATCATGTACCTGAATTTGCTAGACTACTTAGTGTATATCTAATCTGGGGTATCTGTCGCAAAGCGTCCGCAACGCTTCGCTTGGTACATGTGTGTGTGTGTGTGTGTATCTCCCGACTGGTCTGTCTGTAGAAAGAGGAGAGAGAAAAGAAAACCGCTACCGTATCCCGTATCGTGACAAGAAGAAAAAAAAGAAAACGAAAAGATGACGAGGACATGACAAGAGGAAAGGGATAATTCTTTCATGGCTATAGAGATAAGAGAACAAGTCATGACGAGATGAGAAAAAGGGAGGAAAAAGAAAAAAAAGAAGAGGCGAGAAGAAAGGGAACGCCTGTTTGCCTGTGCGCCAGCCAGGATGCGGAGTTGGTTGAGATAGCTTTAGGTAGAATGGGGTGTGGGCGGGCGGAAAGCGGGGGAAAGTCCGATTGCGGAACTCCCCCTAACAACCCCTTACCCCATTGCGCACCGTAAGCGTGGGGAGGGAGGGAGGCAGGAAGGAAGGAATGAAGGAGGCTGAGTTTCTCTTTTTTTTTGTTCCTTTTCGTTGCTATGCACACCATGTATATAATGTGTGACCGTGTTTTCGCTTCTGCATACAACAGCAAGCGAGATAACACCCTCCCCAAAGCGGCAAGCTGAGAATAGATCGATAGATGGAGCAGAAAGAAGTCGGCGTCGGTGATCCTTGTCAGCCTCAGACCTTTACTTCAGTGACGTTGACGGTGCTGCCCATGGGATTTGACGAAGATGCAGCAGAGGCGGAAGCCATCTTGTTCGCAACCATGTCGCTAGTCTTGACGAAGCCACCCGGGAGCAAGAAGACATAATCTTCTCGCCTTCCGGTGCGATCGACGGAGAATTGCTGCCAGTCGAGCTGGTAGCCGACGACGAGGTCGCAGCGGCCGCAGCGCTGGAGATAGCGCTTTTCGAAGCCTGAGTCGCTGGTGATGATCTCAGCTTGGCGCTCTTGGCGGGTGGACAGCAGGAGGCCGTAGTGGTCGTGCGTAGTGGCGGAGTTATCCGCAGAGTTCTTGCGTGCTGCGGCGGGGGCTGGGGGAGGTAGAGGCATGATGTGTGCGGCGTCGTGGCTGTGGCGCCGTGTGGGCAGTGAGGGTAGAGGTGTGGTTGTGGCGAGGAGGAGATGGCTGCACAGACAGTGGTAGGTGTAGACTGTGTTTGAGGCCTGGAGGGAGATTTTCTCATCTGGGCTGGGAGAAGGCATGGCAAAGTATGCGCGGGAAGTGGTGGCGATATCCATTGCGGTAGTTGTGGTTGTGTGTGTGTGTAGTGTGTGGTGGGTGGTGAGTGTGTGATATATAGTAAGTCTGCTCGGGGTCCGATCAACGGGATCCGTAGAGTAGTAGTGTGGTGGGACGCCTGTGTGTATGGGGGCGAGCGTTTATGGATGCAAGTCAAGTCGAGTCAAATGACAGTGACTTGAATAAACAGTGTAGAGTATATGGTGATGACCAGCCAGAGAGTAATCGGAGGTCCGACCACGGTTCTTATACTCTGCGCTTAGTAGTCGTTGTGTGTGTGAAAGCGGACCCTGATCCTAGTCTTTTCGCTGAGGCTTACGAGACAAGGGCAGGGAGTGGAACTGTGGGGATGCTCGAGTGCACGGGCGGGCAGGTTGATCGACGGCGGACACGACTTGAGGGTGCCAAGTCAATCAAAGGACGGAGTGGGATAGTCCGTGCAGGCGAGGCGGGCGGACGAGGTCGAGTGGGATGGGCAGCGTTGGTGTGTGATGATTTGTTTGGGAGGCCGCGTCGAGCGTGAATGGTCGGAGCTCGGTGCTTCAGCCAAGGTCGCTGATGAGACCCTTTTGGGCGCGTCCTGGGGTGGAGCACGACAGATGGCGTCTGGCAACTAGAGGGCGGCGACGAGTCACAGGCTCCACTTGCGCAACGGGTGGTGATAAGAGCAGAGCAGTAGTCGTGGTCCAAAGAGGCTTGGTTGGTTGGGGTGGTGCAAAAAAAACGGGCGGGTACATTGAGCAGGACATGGATTTATAGCATAGCAACGGCAAGCTGTCGTGAGCCAGGCGTGCATCGCACAGCGCGGCGTGGGCAATAGCGGCGGGCGTCGGCGGCGGTGTCATTACGAGTGAGCTGGTGTGGACAAAAAAAAAGACCGGATGGCGGGCAGGCCAAATGCGACAATGTCTCCCCACGGGTGTTTGTTGGCGTGGAATTGGCTGTGCGAATGGAGTTGCAGCAGACCACCACGCGCTGGCCGTGTCTGGCTCCCGGCAGCGCCGCTTGTGCTCGTGCCCCTGCCAATGTGCTGCTGCTGCTGCTGCTGCTGCTCCTCCTCCCATGGCCATGTGATGGTGAGAAGGCGACTAGGGGCGAAGTATGCTTTGCTTTGCTTTGCTTTGCTCTGGCTCTGCTCGCCTCACCTCGCCTCCCTCGACGTGTGCCCACCATGGCCGTCTGCACATGTCCCTATCGCGGTGGATAGCCAGACTATGCTATTGCTATTACACCACTATTGCAGTACGGACCGACATGGGCCAAGGCCTAGGAAACTTCCGTCCGTTTCACGACGCTGACGCGCGCCGCCCGGCCGTGTTCCGAGCTTGATACCGTCGCTGTCTTGGGGCGGGCCTGCTTGGTCTTGGGTGCACATGCTTGCGACGCTTCGCTTCCGTGTCGACACTATCCAGACCGACCGACCGACCGACAGACAGTCGCCAGAGTCGCAATGCCGCTGACCAGCCAGCTCATCACCTTTGGCTCCTTTGTCGTCACCACCCAGGTCCGCCTGCCCGCCTGCCCGCCTGTCCTCTGCCTCGTTCTGTTGAGCGGTGCAACTTGGCCATGAGCCAGCCAGTCAGACCACTGACCGGATCCCCTAGGTCTTCCACCTAACCCGTCTGTCCTTTGCCATAGTCAATCTCAAGCCCCTCCTGCCCGGTCATGTCCTCGTCTCGCCCCGTCGCGTCGTGCCCCGCTTCAACGACCTGTCTGCTGCAGAGGTCCATGACCTGTTTCTTGCAGTCCAGCGCGTTTCGCGCATGGTAGAGCGTGTTTTCGCCGCCTCGTCGCTTAACATTGCCATCCAAGATGGTGTTGATGCAGGCCAGAGCGTCCCTCATGTCCACGTCCACATCATCCCCCGCAACAAGGCCGACCTCGACCACAAGGGCGGCACCGATGCCATCTACGCCATGCTCGACAGCGACGACGCCAACCTAAGCAAGCAGCTCGAGCAAAAGGCCCGCTTCCCCGCCGTCGACAACGACAGCCGCAAGCCCAGGTCCGACGACGAAATGCAAAAAGAGGCCGAGTGGCTGGCCCAGGAAATGGCAAAGGATGAGCCTCCTTCTTCTGATGCTGCTCCTCCTGCTGTCTGAGCCACTCACTGCCTCCGGCACTGCCGCTTCTATCTTTACCTACTAGAAATCAAATACCATCATGTTTGCTGCAACACTGTCGTTTTTGCAAAACGCCCGGGTCCACTGCTGCCTGGAATCGTGACCCATGGTTGGCCATTCTTGCACCCTCCCCACACTTGCCCATCCAGTTCAAAACCACGAGCTGTAAAATCCCCCCTTGCTGCATCCTTCCATGCTTGACCTCGCAAACACTTCTGACGTGCAACATGCCGGGAACCACCATGCCTTCAAGCGCTCCTTGCGTGACGTGCATCTTGTCTTTATCCATATCACAGTCGAGAGCAGCACTTTGGGAGTAGTTGCATCTCGCGTAGAGAAACTCCGAGCTGCCTGAGGAGCCAGGGTCGATGTTTGTTCTAGGCACGTCTACGCAAGCCGCGCACGATCAAACACCACAGTCCCCAATAGGCTTTGGTTTTCTCCCTCTGCCAGCAGAACTGCGATACCGAATCTATTCGCTAGTGTTGCCAACCAATCTAACCATTGAACTTAAGGCTATCTGGCAAAAGGGCAAGCCTCTGTTTGTCGCCTATGACCTGGGACTGCATGCAGAGGATGCAGTCCCAATTGGTGGAACGACTTCCTGTTTGGATACACGCATCCGTCCCGCGTACCACCTCGCTGTCGAAACGCAATTATTCCGAGTAAGCAAGCTTGTCTCAAACGAGTCCCGGTGTAGTAAGTAGTACTAAAAGTCCCGGCAACGCACGTACCCTGCCCAGCTAAACAGTTACAGACGTCCTCTATGGCATGAACACGTACAAATTCACCATCCATGGAAGAGCCATATGGCCCAAGTCGCTGAGGAGCCCATACATTTTGGGATCTCTTGGCCACCCTCTCCGACTTGCACTGCTACGCGACTTGCGTCGCATCCACATCGACCTTGTTGCTGACGTTGACAGCCACTGGGCAGTCAAGCGCCAACGAGCACGCCTAGAATAGTACCTGGTCGACATGCTCAAGGAGCATGCTGACGACCAAAACAAAGGGTCCCTGTTGCAGCATCTCAGGCTCGACTTGCGCCTCGCCCGCGTCTCTGACCCCAGGCTTCTTCCACCTTCTCAGTCGACCGGATACTTGTATTTGCGATTTCTTCGGGCTCCGAATGCAGCTTTGTATACAAGGCAAAGGCGGCCAAGTGCAACAGACTGGCTGGCCACAATTTCAAGTGAAGCGCAGCCGGGGTAGGGGTAAGTTGGATAGTCGCAAGACGACGACGCACTGGGTCACATTGCGCAAATGGCATCAGCCTATGCTGAATTGGAGAGAGTTTGCTGAGCGCAATAATATCGCCCTTCCAGACGATATCGACAGGTTCTGGGCTGTAGAGTAGGACTGGGCAGATGGCTGCAGGCAGGCGCCCCCCCGTCCCCCTGAATGACATGTGACAGAGAGCCAGGATAGGCCCTTGCCAGAGCAATAGCACATCCGCCGTGTTTGAAAGAGCCGCATCTTGACTTACAATCACTGCTACATGTGCACCGTGACCATGACTCTGACTCTGACTCTGTCGACATGTCTGCCGTCACACTCGTGCGGCCGTCGCCGTTGTAGCTTATTGACGACAGCCTCCGCCCCACGTTCGCTAAATGATTGGCTCCCGAGCATGACGCGAACATCCATGACATGCTCCGACCGACCGGACTCCCTATCGCGCCGCCGCACTTATCGCCATCTGTCCCCCAGACACATCCTCCCCATAGCTTGGTGATAGAAGCTTGGTTACTGTCTCCCTTGTTTCGTCATCTTCTACTCCCGGCTCTCCAGCTATCCGTCTCCTCTAGGCACTGTCCTCGCCTTTTGCTCCCCCGCCTCCCCCCTTTCAATCACATTATCAACGCCACCATAATGGCTATCGGCGATGTCCCCTCCAGCCCCCAGCAGGCTACGGTACCGCCTCAACCCATCGACATTGATGCCTGGACTGAGCAAGCAACCGTTGCCCTGGGCTCTGTAGCCATTTCCGTCCCTGGAGATGCGCCCCGGACTGCCTCGGTTACGCTTGCCATTCCGCTCGATGAGCACGATGCGCCCGCGGCTGCTGCACACCCTGTAGGTGCTTCAGCAGCCGCAAAAGAAGGCGGATACTATCGTCGCAAGGAGCCGCTTCGCCGCGACAGCATGAAGCGGCGCGAGGCCCTGCTAAAGGGAAAAGAGGGCTCCCGGCGCAGGCAGAGATGGGAGAATGGTACGTTTGCCCTTCTCTTAGATAGTCGCTTTGCGCATAGCAACTGTCCTCGCATAATACCTTACCCATGAAACATGCCCATAGATACAAAATAATTGATGAGTGACCCATCAGATCGTCTCCTATCCAACCCCCACGCCGAACCCCCTCTCCCAAGAGACTGGGAAGTCCACCCAACCCACACTCCCAAACACGTCCCCTACTACCTCGCCCCGCTCTGGGACCAAGGTCTAAACCGCCAATCCACCGACCGCCGCTCCGCCGCCCTCGCCCAAAAAGCGTCCCAGAAAACTGTCGCTACAAACCCTTCTGCCCCCGGTATCGTACCAAAGGAACTCCGCGACAAACTCAAGCGCTCCCGCGGCGCAAAGGGCTTGTTGATGGACCTCGAGAGCCAAGTCAGAAGCTTCGTCGCTGAGTGGCACGAAAAGGAGCGCGAGGCCGCCCACTTGGGTGTCCCTACTGATCCCGACAGCGAGGACGACGAAATTGTTTTTGTCGGCAGAAATGGGCATATGAATGATCTTTCCTCTCCTTCCTCTTCCTCAGTGCTCCCCGCCAAGAAGGAGCTTATGCTTTTTGATACTCCCGAAGAGGATGTAGGTGGCTGTTTTGGACGCTGGCTCGTGCATCACATTGGCGTCTACTATGGCTTGAGGACTTGGAGTGTTACGGTGGGGGATCCCGCGAGGAGGGAAGCGTATATTGGGGTTAACAAGGGGGTTGAGGGCGCGTTGCCTAGGCCCTTGTATGGCTTGGTGTAGGTGTAGGTGTGCATCGAGGTTGTGTGTATATATGGATGAGTAGGTACGCCATGTTGGGGCAACGTTACGCATATTCCACTCTTTCATTCGGGCCAAGACTACACAGTAAAGTATCATAAAGACTTGGAAAACCATCATATACATGTTCAATTTTCCTCATACCACATATCCCAAACCACGCTAGTCGTAAAAAAAAAGGGATGGGGAATAAACGTAATTATCCAAACTCGTGCCTTGTATACCTCAAACCCCAATTTCTCTCTCTTTATTCCTACTTAAAACGACGCAAAAGCCAACTCATACGCGAGCGCAAGCGTCATCCTCGCATGCTGGAGCATATGATCAAAGCTAAGATACTCAATCTTATCCTCAGTCGTATGGATTTTATTATCACTATACTTGAAATCCGACTCGATTACAAATGCAGAGGGGTAGCCTGCCTTTGATGCACTGGCGTGATCCGAGCATGCATAGCCGCATTTCGTTAGGACGTACGGGATACCGCAGTACGTGGTAATGATTTTCTTGATAAAGTCGGTCAAGCCGGGGTCCACAAAGTCCGTGATGACGCCTACGGACTCGGGTTCGCCTGCGTCGAGCGTCTTTTGCACGTAGCCGGTCATGTCTTGCTGCAGCATGGCTTTTACGTTGCGGTCTGCGTGCTCATAGGATTGGAAAATTGCTTGGGAGCCTAGCAGGCCGCCTTCCTCGGCAGAGTACCAGTGGAATTCTATCGTGTTTTCTGCTTCTCCCGCTAGGATCTCGGGGGATTGCAGGAGCACGCGGAGGGCCTCGAGGATGGTGACGGTGCCGCTGCCATCATCGTCGGCGCCCGGTGCGGCGAGGAAGGCGGGGAAGTACAAGTTTATGCTATCTTGGTGCGCGCCGATGACGATCGTCTTATCGCTTTTTCCCGGAATTGTGGCGATGATGGAGGATTGGCCCCAGGGGTGAGGGAACGGTTTTACGGTTGCGTTGATGGCGCCGGCGTCGACAAGGGTTTTGTTGACTTGGCTTAGCAGCCAGGCTGAGCTTTCGGCCCCGTAGTGCGACTTGTAGTAGCGCGTGTGGAACGAGGTGAAGGTTTCCAGGTGGGCACGCATGTTTTCCTTTTTCAGCTCCTTGAGGAGTGGGTCGATGGCCTTTTGGTGGATGGGCTTCTCGGGGAACTTGACGCTCTCGGCAGAGACCTTGCGGTTCAGCGTGCCGAGCTCTTTGTTGTGCGTGATGTCGAAGAAGTTGATGTTTTGCTGCAGTATAGTTAGTACCCAGTGTTTATCCAGTATCATTTGAGATGACCTACTTTGCGCAACTCCCACTTTTCGTTCTCAGTCACCCAGCGCGTCTCGCCGGGTGAGAGCTCGATGAGATACTCATCTGGCTCGGCGATAGTGACCTGCTGCTGGTCCTGGAGCACAGCTTGATGATCTTGAGGCGATGAAACAGCTGCCGCGAGGGCAGCAGTGTAGAGTGGTAGTAATAGCGTTGTTGACTTCATGGTTGTTGTGTATATGCTTTCGAAGGACGGTGAAGGTTGTATGCTGTAAGGCGACTGGTTGACGCGGTGATACGGAGATAACGGCCAAGCCGCCCCAATGACGCGCCATCAGCTGTTTGGCGCTAGTGCAAGTCTAGCAGGAGGTCGCCAGTGTAGATTCTGGAGAAACTCAAGTTGAGCAGATGTCTTGTTCATCACATTGCATCTACACAATGAATCATACGGGTTCTTTCATATCTATCTATGTATACCCCCTCTTGTGTCCATGACCATGTTCTGGTGATTGCATGGTTGAACTAGTAAAAGTGGTCCTTGTCAATACACGAGAGTCGGGCGTTCAGCCTCACAACTACTACTCAGGGTAATAACATGTACGGTCGAATATCATACCCACAATGTTATCCTTGATAGGTATGGTACTATGTTATACGTACATACAAAGTTTCGCTAACCGTCTACAACCCATGTCCGAATGTCGTTATCATACCACTTGTCAGATTAGGCC